CATGTTATCTGAGCGACAGCGTTGACTTTCGCTGATCGCTCTCATTTGTCGCCTCCCGTGTGTCGAGCCCTTTATGCTGTTACTCACGGTAACATTGGAAAGAGAAGACGCGGGGATGAGCCGCCACAATGCACGTTTTAACATAAAGCGGCCACCCACTTTTAATGTGCGGACCTCTTTACCGCTGACTCCGAAAACGCGGGCCTCTTTACAGCGGTGTGTGGCCGCAATGGAAACATTCTGCGAACGCGAGGCAGGGGACGTGGTGAAGGGGACAGGGGGGTCATAACACCGGGCATGTGGGTGAATGCAGCGGGGATAAACAACCGCGGGGAACGCGGCAGACGTGGCAGAAGCAAACACACCGCTAATCTGCCTTTACGGACGGCGATGATGATGATGAAGGCAGAGAGGAAGAAAATCCATAAAAGTGGATCAGAAGTGTTGAAGAGCCTGTTGTTTATTGTTGAGACAATCTGACAAGTTCTGAGCCCATTAATTTAATCGCTCTGTTTCTAAACGATGAATTCTGGAGCCTCATTTCCACTGAGACAAACAGTATGCCACCAGGTCTTTTGAAAGGGTAATATTGAAACCAAAGTGCAGATTTCATGACTGGTAAACTATAAGCAGTGCCATCTTGATCATTGAAGGTCTAATACATAATACAATTCCATATGGCTGCTGACCAGTGCTAAAATATTCTATATAAATTGGATCAGTGAATTCATTCCTATCCCACATTGTGTTTTCATACTAAAGATATTTCACATTGACTGTTGACAGTATTCCCAGAGCTCAAAATACTCTCAAACTACAGCTTTTTTAAATCTGTATACAATAAACATTTTCCAAAATGGCCACCACCTTGATGACGTCACAGTATGCAAATTAGATGACGAATCAACATCCATCCCAAAGTTTGGTTCATACTGAAGATATTTCTCATTTACAATATGCCTTCATCTCAAACTACTTTAAAGTTATAGCCTTTTGAAATCTTGAAATCGAAATTGTAATTTTTTTTTAAAGAAATGGGCTTAGTGCTGCATGAAAATCCCTCGTCAATGGCCTGGGTTCCGCACCGTGCTCCTCTTTGCTGTCGTCGTTGCAACATGTCCAGAAGTTCAACTTTTTAGCACTAACCATCTTGTGGGTTTAGTCCATGGTTTTGTCAAGGAGAAAATTAGCATACAGAACTTACAGTCACACTGCAATCAGACATGGATTTACATTTGTCAGTGTGAATGCTGTGATGTACAGGAAACCTTAGCCAATCAGGACACAGAACACATTACACTGGTTCTTCCTTAGCCAATCAGGATGAACATTGCAAGTTCATATACAGTGAAAATCATGCTACAAATAAATCTGCAAGACCGCAAAAAGAGAATCGCTATTCAGCTGAGGAGACTCCGATTCAGAATAAATAATAACTAGTGCTGTCCAACGATTAAAATATTTAATCGCGATTAATCGCATGAATTTCATAGTTAACTCGCGATTAATCGCAAATTAGTCACACATTTGCGTGCTGTGTGCAATTGCTTTTTTTATTGAAAACAATGTGTAGTGTTATATTACACACTAACATTTGATGCAAAATCATCAATAAATGGATGACAAAATAAATAATTGGTAACAAAAAGCCCCTTCAATGTGTGTGTGTGGGTGTGTGTGTGTATGTGTGGGTATAGACCATAGACTGTATAGAAACATCATGGTGTCATTATGATGATGATAAACAATCTGTAAATATTTTGTAAATTTGTTCATGTAAATACTCTATGCTGTTTCTCTGTTTACCCTTCGGTATATCTATGACTGTATACTGTTTGCTTGTATTGCCTTTTTTATTAACCCCTCCCCCCATCTCCCACTTCATGTCCCCCCCCCCCCCCCCCCCCTCCCCTCCTATGTGCCCTTCTGGGTTTCTTCTTTGGCCCCCTGTATCTCCAACTACATATTGTTTGTAATCTCTGTCTACAATGTATCTGAACTAGTCCTTTTCTTTGTTTCTATGTGTTTGTCTGCAATAAAAAGTAAAAAAAAAAAAAAATCTTTTTTTTTTTTTTTTTTTTTTTTTTTTCGCGCGATAAAAAAAATGACGGCGTTAATATTGATTTGCGTTAACGCGTTAATAACGCGCTATTTTGGACAGCCCTAATAATAACACATTTTTCCTGTACGGAAGTTTCTGATTTGGTGTTTGTAAGTAATTTCTTTACTATCATGTTTTAGATTATAGATTAGACAGCGAGCCAGATCAGATATATCCCAATGAAAATAATGTTTTTGCACTTTATTATTATTATTATTAATCTTTATTAAGGACACAATACAACACGGTCCATAGTTAAAAAACCAAAGAAAAAATATATACAAGAAAACAAAACAAAGAGAACATTACAGCTGCTGAACAGTATAAAGGCATATGATGTGAGAATTGTATACATGCATGTGTAAGAAAATTGAGGGGGGGATATCCCCCCCTTGAGCCATGGCTAGGGGGGGACTGATCCCCCCCCATCCCCCCCTCTGGAGGAAACCCTGACAGTGTCCAGAGGGCCCTCTACCAATATCCATTGCTCGATTTTGGCTCGGACCCTCAGGGGAGTTAATTGGCTGTCTGAAATGTAGTCAAAAAAATGGAGTATGGGTCCACATCCCTGAGAGCATCCTCCCTGCAAATTGAAAAATCCAATCAATTTTTTTCCCACAGTTGTGACACCTGATTTGGAGAAATGTTGTCAAGGGTCGTAAGACGAGTCTGGGGATATGTGTTATGTGCCCGCCGCACCTACGGTTTTCGATAGGCGGTGCTTCAAAGATTTGCCATCTTTAGGACTTATAGGCTCGTTAAAGGGTCATATTTTGTCCGATTGTCTTGAAATTCACCACACACTCAGTCCAAATCAGATTCTGTCATTTGGAGACCAACAGACTAACGGTTAGGTATTTGGCTTCCTTTTGGTCGGAATGAGATGAAACCAAAACGTTTCAGTAGAACACAGTATGACGTTTGACACGTCCTAAAAGTAGGTGTGAAATGGTTTGAAATCATCTATAAAAGGTTTCATCGAACCACAGAAGGGTCTTATATGAAGAAGGTGGGTATTTTGTTCCATTAACACTGTAATATTGGTCTTGGAGAGCTATGGCTGAAGTTAATCAATATTTCACCCTTGCCTTTGAAGAACCCTCTTTTCATGACAAAACTCAGAATAATGAAAAGACAAAAGAACTTTACTGTGGTACCAACTTATGGAAGTTCTGGTGCCACCGACATGTGATCAGGTCTCATTATAAAAGGACCTTCAAGGTGAAGTTGGGTCCTCTAACAATCATGTACTCCTATATTGGGCTATTTGAAGTGAGTCTAAATTAAATGCATTATTAGTGTTAAGGCTATGGCTTTGGACCCTGTAGGGTAATAATATGTAAGATTATGTTATTGTAGTATAAATTTGGTAGTGTGGATCGGCGGGTCTCCGGATCAGAGGCTCGCCGCCGCACACAAGTGAGGATCTGCTTTTATTTTTAGGGCACCAGCAGTTTGAAAACTTCTGCACAGATCCAACTAACTTTGCCTCGAGTCAGTCTTATAATCTAATAGGTAGTGAATGCGTAAATCGGCCAGTGATATCCGAGATTTAAAAACATGACGCTTGAATGATTGAGTTAAAGTTAACGTGAATTTATTGACTACAAAAATGGAGATAGAAAATATAACGAAGGGGATTTCTGGTCACATTAAACAGAAGTTGTATACATCTCATTTGAAACACACATCCAACAAAGGAACAGTCTTACTTTGAGCCGTTCAAGGGAGATGTTGATGAAAAGAGGAGGATGGAGAATGGAGATGGAAGGATGAGGATGGAGAATGGGGTTCAGGCGATGTTCTCCTCCACGTGGTTTCTTTGTCCGGGCAGGCGGGAGATACGAAGCCAGCGATACAGTCCAGCTTTGGGTCCGTGCATATACAGCTCAGTCCGGAGTGAGTTGCGTGCGTAGAGTCCAGAGCCAGGAATGAGGCTGGTGGTGTAATAGTTCATACGATCCGAGCCAGGGAGGAGGTCTGTGTTCGGAGTGGGAGTACAGGCCCGAGATGGTGGCGGGTGTAGGCCGTGTAGGAGACACGTACCAAAAGGAATAGTTTCCAGAGTGATTTCGGGAAGAACCAAGAGGTCGTTCTGTTGCATTGTGCGTGTTTATATTGACTTCAAAAAGGGGGCGCGTCCTTGGCGTCATCCATGTGCGTCTTCCCGGGACAACCCTCTCACAACAGACAGTTTACAAAGGGAAACACGCAGGATTAATACAGAAGACCATAACACATGTACAAACACACACCGCATTTCATTACTCGACAATGATACACACATGTAGGGCACGGTACAGACGTATGGGGATAATACTGAGTCCGGAGCTGGTCTACACACTGTCCGTGCCGGGTGTGATAGTGTTCAGTGTCCACTGGGGGGCGCCAGAATGCCGTGGGTGAGTCCCAGGTTTGTGGAATGTCCCATGAGCGATAGTGGGTGAATGATGCCTGATCTCTGTCAGGCAGAAGGGCACACCGATGTTTGTTCTGCTGTTTTATTGCCCCTCTGTCTGTCTTCTTGCAGTGTCCTGGCAGATGTTTGGCCTTCCATTGAACTCGTAGTTTCTTTGAAGTTTCCGGAGCTCGGGAGGGGCATGTTTACGAAAAGGGCTGCTATTCACGCTCGACTGGTGCCTGCCCTCTTTCTCACCTTACAACCCCAAAGCAGAAACAAGACGCAGGGTTTGAAAACAACATTTATTTACCATTTAAAATATGATCTGAGGCGAGTCATTGGAGGTGTATATTTGTTAGCTTCCTTTCAACCTCGTCCTCTCTTTTTGCTCCTTTTTTTATTGTTTCCTCCTCCTCATGGATTCTCTTTTTTTTTCTGTGCGTGGTCTCCTCAGCCTCCGGACCCAGTCCCCCCTCAGCCTCCGGACCCAGTCCCCCCTCAGCCTCCGGACCCAGTCCCCTCCTCAGCCTCCGGACCCAGTCCCCCCCTCAGCCTCCAGACGGAGTCGGAGTCCTTGCTCAGCCTCCTGATTATGTCCCTCTTCCTCCTCAGATCTCTTCCTCTTTTCCCCATAAAGGGCACTCTGGTGAAAAATCAGGTTTTTAACTGACATCTGCTGAATCTGAAGACCCGGCAACGGAGGAAGCGGAAGAAAAATGGATGGATGGATGGATCTGATGAATCTGAGGGGGATTTTTGTTCTCCGGATTGAGTCCCTGTCGGAGTCCCTCTTCCTCCTCCTCCTCCGGACTGAGTCCCTGTCGGAGTCCCTCTTCCTCCTCGTCCTCCGGACTGAGTCCCTGTCGGAGTCCCTCTTCTTCCTCCTCCTCTTCCTCCGGACTGAGTCCCTGTCGGAGTCCCTCCTCCTCCGGACTGAGTCCCTGTCGGAGTTGTTCCTCCTCCTCCTCCTGCAGAGGGAAAGAAAATGGATGGAACCCAATAGATTATGACACTTTTTACCGGTAACGGGTGGCGAATTTTCCTTTTGGGAGGTTTCCAGTCGTCGGACGACTCTGTTGAAGTGTGATTGCCCTTAAAAAAGATAACATGGAAACGTTACTACCACAGTATTTTTTGATGAAAAGTATCAATGAGAGTACCAAGGTCTCTATGTAACAAGGGAGAGGAGTCCTCTTTTCCATAACCCTTCTTTTGATGGACGATGAAGTAATACTCCCTTCGGGTTGTGGCTGGCGTTTTGAGACCCGCTTCTTCGGGGGCGGGATGTCATCAGGGGGCGGTGTGTCATCAGGGTTCCTGGGCGAGGAGTGGTCTCGGGAGCCTTTTTTTAACGCTTGTATCTTTTTTTTCTTTTTTTTTACCGCATAGGACGAGACAGCCATGATAGTCAAGGTCCTGCTATTAAAGGCTTCCTCTGCTGGATCAGAGGCTGTACAGAACAGTAAAATGAGAAACTCATACATGACTCCCCAGGGTTGTTGCCAAGTTGCATTTAGAATAACCTTGGTAAAACCTTTTGGCCGTTATGGGGTCGTGGCACATGAATGTGGCAACCCTCTCGTAGCACTTCCTCCCGTGCTGCCTCTTTGACTGATGAAGGGAAATATGAGTGTAATTAAAACAGTTATGCAATTAATAGCAATAGTACACATTTTAAAGATCTAAACCAGTCTAAATCAGGAAAAAGGTATTACAAAGCACAGATTATATAGATACAGTACAAAAATTCTTACATAAGTTGCCACAGACGATCTCAGCATGTTGAAGTTGGGTGCAGGGCCCAGCCCGAACCTTTCCCACTGATTTTTGAAATATGTGGGCAGCTTTAACAATGGCTGTCCACTGGAGATGTGGAAAAAGGTGCAGGCTGAGCCAACTTCCACTTCACCCCTGATGCCAATATACGTGTGCAGCCACCTGTACTCGTCAGCCCTCAAGGGTATCGACGCTTCCCCAAAGTAGCGCTGCGTTTTATGTTGCTTCACCTGTTAACAACACTCAGTTTGTGACCATGTTAGTTTGTGTTCTTTCATTTTAGACAAAAACTTACCCTTATCACCCTGCGCCCTCGGGATACTTTTACGGCCTCCTGGAGCTCTGTGACCAGCATATTGACCAGGACACCCTTACGGTGTCCAGTGGTCGCTATGAGGTACCCTCCCAGGAGGCTGAAAAAGCGAAGCAGGGACCATGTTGATTTGGGGTCACTCTTCAGTTGGTCTTTAAATAAATGTATATAAATAAACAGTTATTCTGTTCAAATGGTTGATTAAGCAGATGAAGAGGATGGATCCTTACCTAGCGCCTTTGTAATCAGGGCAGGAGAGTTCTGTATGAACCAAGAATGTTTTGAGGACTGCATTAGGCTGTCTGAAATAATAAAAAAAAATGTCACTGTTAAAAGCAATAATAGAAGGAAGAAGGACAAAGACAGGTTTTAACCAGACCTAAATCAATCCAAACCAGGACTAGACCAAGTCTAAAGCAGGGCTACAGCACAACTAAAACATGTCAAAAAGTATCAGCACTAAACCAGAAGTAAACTGGGACTGAAGCAGGTCTAAACCAGAACTAAGTTAGGACTGATGCAGGTCTAAACCAGGAGTAAAAAGGTAAATCAGGATAAAGTCAAATCTGAACCAACCCCAAACATAAGAGAGAATGTAGTAATCAGGACTAAACCAGGATTAAACCAAGACAAAGGCTGATGCTCTCTCTCTCTCCCTCCAGCCCTCGACACACCGGTCCCGACCACGTTCTGGGACAGACGTGTCAGGCCAACGCCACTCGGTTTTTCGTATGCTTTGATTTCACACGCACTTGCACCCAACACGTATTGACACATAAGGTTATCCTACTGATATTACTTGCATTATACGCAGCCACTCATATTATACTTACACTGACCGCAGTAATATATTTATATTATTATCATTTGTAAAATAAATGCCAAGAGGCTTAAAATCTGGTTGTGGAGTCTATTCCCCCTTTTTCCTTTGTTGCAGCCATCGAGCCGGGCTGTAACAGGTGGGGGCTCAGTCCGTGCGTAAAACTGGCACGCGGGCATCCGAACCCGGGTGGACTGGAGACGTGGAGCAGAGCAGTGTGCGCGTGGATCAGGGAGAAGGTAGGTGCTACCCCACACGCAAAATTCCAGGGAGTCCCTCGTTAGCTTGTAGAGGTGGTTTTCACAAGGGAAATCATCTTTTTTGCTTTTGACAGGGCAGTGGTGAACGCGGTTCGCAGACTTCAGTCTGGGAGCGCATCCGTGGTGTCTGAGGGCGCTGGTCAAACTGCTTCTCAGACGCATCGGGCTATAGATTGTGCATTTAGGCCAATCGCAGCGCATAAATACCCGCCGTATGAGACCACAAGAAGAGCCAGGCTAAGCAGTTAGATACGTGATAGGCAGTCAGGGCGGGGGTCTCCCGAGGGCTTGCGCTGTCCCTCTATTTGCGTGTTTTGTGGGGTATGTACTTTACATTCTCGTTGGTTCACGCCTCCGGGTAAATTGTTGGCTCCAGTCTCATATACATTTTTGTAAATTGTCTTTGGGGGCGACACTACATTATTTTGCGAGTGGCAGGCTGTGCGTAATTTGCGCGTAATTTGGGCATTGTTAATAGTTTTGTTAATAAAATGGATTTGGAGGCGTTTGAGCAGTGTCGTAAGGCGGATCTGGTCGCTATTGCTGTCAAATATAATGTACCGGTGAATAAACAGGACCGAAAAGAGGAAATAAAACTCAAGGTGCATTCAGCGCTCGCTAAGGAGGAATAGGTGCATTAGGTGCCTCCTCTCAAACCAGTGCAGTGGTGAGTGAGTTGGAGTTGCGTAAAATAGATTTAGAAATGCAGCGTTTAGAAATGAGGGACAAAGAAATGCAACGTGAATTTGAGCTTAAAAAATTGGAACTTGAAGAAGCAAATAGGTGTGAGTCAGTGCACGTTGGCATGCGACAGCATAGTGATGTCTCTATGGAGACTAGTTTTGATGTGAATAAATGTTTTCGTCTAATACCGCCTTTTTCAGAGAGAGACATTGATAAGTATTTCATTTTGTTTGAACGAGTGGCAAATACGGTAAAGTGGCCCAGAGAGATATGGCCGTTATTATTGCAATGTGTGTTCACAGGCAAGGCGCAAGAGGCCTACGCTTCACTTTCACCTGAGGACAGTCTCCTATGACAGGGTGAAGGCCGCGGTGTTGCGTGCTTTTGAGTTGGTCCCAGAAGCGTACCGACAGAAATTTAGGAGGTATAAGAAGGCAGATGGACAAAGTTTTGCAGATTTTGGCAGAGAGAATCTGAGTTTGATCGTTGGTGTTCTGCACAGGAGGTTAAAACATTTGATCAGCTACGTGACTTGGTTTTCATGGAAGATTTTAAGAGGTGCCTCCCAGAGAAGATTGCAACCTATTTGAATGAGCAGAAGGCTACTGCAGTGACTGCAGCTGCGGCACTGGCAGATGAATACGTTCGGACCCACAGGGATACTCACAACATAGTCCGGGGAGGCATGTTGGTCAGGTGGGGCAGTCTGGACCGAGGTACCCCTCAGAAAGGGCTTGGCCACCCATGCATTGCTCATATTGCAATAAACGTGGACATCAGGTTAGCAGTTGTTTTCTTATAAAGAAAAAGCCCAAGCCTGTAGTTCTTGTGGACTCACGCCACAAGAATACAGAGCAGCATTCTGACTTAAAAGTTTACGCTCCTTTCATAATGGAAGGTGTAGTCTCATTACCCGACAGTGGCATTAGGGTCCCTGTGACTATTTTGAGGGACACTGTCGCATTCAATTATTTTACAGAATGTGTTGCCTCTATCCGATAAAACTTCTCTAAAGTGTAGTGAGCTTGTACAAGGCCCAACGCCATGAAGTTGATGAATCTGCCTGTGCATTGGATTGTTTTGGAGTCAGAGCTCGTTAATGGTGATGTAGCGGTGGCGGTGTGCGCTACGTTTCCCATTGAAGGAGTGGACTTTATTTTGGGGAATGACTTAGCAGGGGGTAGGATTTTAGTCAAGCCTGAAGTGACTGCTGTTCCCTTAGTTTCGACCGGTCCGAATGATTTGGCGAAAAAGTTTCCTTCAGTGTTCCCAGTGTGTGCGGTCACACGCGCCATGTCGAGGAATACTGTCTCTGTACAGTATGTGACGCAGAGGACGATTTTGGGTCTGGTCCTGATCTGGTGCATGAGAGGTCCAGTGAATATTAAATATTAATAACAAAAGGGCGGATTCAACTATTGTAAGGAACTCGCAAACCATCTTCCTCGCTGACGTGAGTGAGGCTGAAATTAAGTCTATTGTGAATAAATGTAAAAATAAATCTTCTATGGACTGCTTGGACATAAATATGAGATCAATAAAAAGAATAATTGACAATATTCTGAAACCTTTAACTCACATATGTAATGTATCACTTCAAACTGGTACTTTTCCGGACAAAATGAAAATAGCCAAAGTGTTACCTCTATTCAAAAATGGGAGTAAACACATATTCACAAATTACAGACCAGTCTCTCTTCTTCCGCAGTTTTCAAAAATATTGGAGAAAAACGTTTTACAGCAGGTTGGAAAAATTTATCTCGAAGCATGAGCTAATTGATGAAGGGCAATACGGATTTAGACCCAAAAGATCAACCACTATGGCTATTATTGACGCTGTGGAAGAAATCACCAGTGCTTTAGACAACAAAAAACATACTGTTGGAATCTTTATAGATCTAAAGAAAGCATTCGATACTATCAATCACTCCATCCTTGCTCAAAAATTAGAAAAGTATGGTATTCGGGGAGTTGCTGGGAACTGGATTAAAAGCTATTTAGAGGAAAGACAACAATTTGTTAAGATCGGGGACTTTGAATCAAAATGTATGAGCATTGTTTGTGGACTGCCTCAAGGGTTAATACTGGCACCTCTACTTTTCAATCTATATATCAATGATATATTTAAAGTATCAGAATTATTAAAAATGGTGTTATTTGCTGATGATACCAACATATTTTATTCTAACGATAACTTTAATAGTCTTATAAAGGATGTAAATCAGGAACTCGTTAAACTTAAAACATGGCTGGATTTAAACAAATTATCACTCAACCTAAGCAAAACAAAAATGATCATGTTTGGCAATTACAAGGAATGTCCAGAATTATTGATAAGTATAAATGGTACTAAAATAGAAAAAGTAACAGAAATAAAATTTTTGGGAATCATAATAGACAACAAACTGAGCTGGAAATCACACATTGGACACATACAGAGAAAGATATCAAAAAACATTGCGATTATAAACAAAGCTAAGTACTTCCTTAATAGTAATGCACTGTATATATTGTATTCCAGTCTAATACTGTCATTCTTAACTTATGGAATCGAGGTCTGGGGTAATAATTATAAAAGTTCACTCCATCCCCTTGTAATACTCCAAAAACGAGCAATCAGAACTATTCATAAAGCTGGTTACCTCGAACACACAAACGTATTGTTTTTACAAAGTAACATGTTTAAACTCATGGATTTAATAGATTTTTACACTGTACAGTTAGTATATAAAGCTAACCAGGCTCAATTACCAGCAAATATTCAAAAACTATTCATAAAAAGAGATGACTGTTACAATTTAAGGGGATGTGGCCAACTTAACGTACCTGCCATTCGTTCCACGAGGAAAAGTATGTGTGTGTCTGTGTGTGGTGTCAAGCTCTGGAATAAACTGGGAGCCCAACTCAAGCGGTGCTCATCCATATATCAATTCAAATCAAAGTATAAACAACTCATATTGTCCAAGTACAGGACGGAGGAATATCACTGAGTGTGGAAATAGAAATAAATGAAGAGTAATCTATTTATGAGGTATTACTGTAACTGACAAACTAAAAATGAAGTATTACTGTTTATCTACTTGGCCATACTGAGCTCATGTAGCTATGCAGAAGTGAAAAAAAAAAAAAATAATAATAATAATAATAATGATAATATATATGTATCCGCTTATGTATATAGTGTATATAGGGTGATGCATAACCTGTATATTGTTTTTGTTGTTGTTCGTTTTCTCTTCTTCACATATCTCTTATGTACTAGCTATGTGATTCTGAAGTTAAAGCTCTATATTAATGTATTGAATGTATCAAATTCTTCAGTACACAAGGGGTAGGTGCAAATAAGCTTAAGCTTCTGCCTACTCCTTTTGAGCATCATATCCACGCTATTTATTTATTTAATTATTTACGTATTTACTTACGCCTATCTATTTTTTTTTGGCTTTGATTACTGTGCTGAACTTTGTATATAAGTAGAACTGTGTGGAACTCAGATTCTCAAATAAAAAAGATGAATTGAATTGAATTGAATTGAAGCGACACAAGTAGACTGTGTCCCTGAGTCGGTCCAGCTTGGTGAGTCTGACACTAAAATGTTTCCTTTGGACTGTACACGCATGTCGAGAGAATGCTTGGTGACAAGAGCAAAAACGTGATGAGTCGTTATTGCCGCTGTTTGAACGTTCTGTCACGGAGAGCAATTTGTCTGACATGTCTACTGGTTATTATGTGAAAGATGACGTTCTATTGCGCAAGTGGACGCCACCTTATGCAGCATCTGAGGATGACTGGAGCGTGGTCACACAGGTGGTTGTTCCTACTAAGTTTTGTCCTGACATTTTGAATCTGGCACATGATAACCCTTTAGCTGGTCATCTGGGAATCAGGAAAACGTATGATCGTGTCTTACGGCAGTTTTATTGGCCTGGTTTGAAGAAAGATGTGAAGGTCCATTGTAAGACTTGTCACACATGTCAAGTGGCAGGGAAATCTAACCCACCCATCCCGCCCTATCCTTTACATCCGATCCCAGCTGTGGATGCGCCGTTTGATCATGTTGTTATAAATTGTGTTGGACCTTTACTTCGTACTAAAGCTGGCAATCAGTTTTTATTAACTTTGATGTGCGCTTCAACAAGGTTCCCTGAAGCTGTGCCGATGCGGAACATTACAGCGCGAGCTGTTATAAAAAAGTTTTTCTCACTATTTGGTCTTCCAAAAACTATGCAAAGTGACCAAGGTACTAATTTAATGTCCCGTGTTTTTTCTCAAGTCACACAGGAGCTGGGCATCGTTCATCGCTTCTCCAATGCCTATCATCCTGAAAGCCAGGGCGCTCTAGAGCAGTTTCATCAAACCCTAAAAGCCATGCTCAGAGCCTACTGTCTTGAGTTCGAGAAAGAATGAGACGACGGCATACACTTGTTACTCCTTGCTGTACGTGACGTGGTGCAGGAATCCACAGGATTCAGTCCAGCAGACTTGGTTTTTGCACATAATGTCCGTGGTCCTTTGAAGCTTATTCACTAGAACTGGCTCGACGAGGCAAGGTCTCAGAATGTTCTCGATTATGTGAGCTCGTTCAGATTCAAGCTCTACAGTTGGCAAAAGAGAAGCTGTCTGCTGCCCAGTCCAAGATGAAGAGCTGGTATGACAAATCTGCAAAACCTCGGCAGTTTAAACCCGGGGACGAAGTCCTCGCGTTTCTGCCTCTTCAGGGCTCTAGTCTTCAAGCTTGTTACAGTGGCCCGTACACTATTCAAAAGAAAGTTGGTGATCGTGATTATATTGTTGCTACTCCTGATCGTGTCCGTAGCAGTAGACTTTGCCATGTCAATATGTTGAAGCCTTATCATGAACGTGAGAACGAGGCCAGGTCTGGTTTGGGCGCTGTCCTCGCTCTCTCCGCTCACAAATTTGTCTAGTTCTCAGCAGGTGTTAGACGCAGTGTCACTGTCCGGTGCTGAAGCTGAGTGCGGTGTCCCTTTGGAGCTTTCCAGTGCTGGAGTTGACTGTGACATACGGGGGCCCTCTGCTGCTTTGGTTCAAGGCCGGTTGCAGAACTCTGAGTGGTTGTCTACACTTGACCGACAGTTTTTGCACTTACCTGAAGTTCAGGGCAGAGACATTGTGGCACTGATACGATCTCATCCATCTCTATTTTCAGATGTGCCGCCCCTTACTCGCGTGTTATGTCACGATATTGACGTGGGAGACAACGCACCGATCAAACAGCATCCCTACCGGGTTTATCCGGAGAAGCGCAAGCGTCTCCAATCCCAGGTTGACTACACGATCTCACATGGTATTGCGGAGCCCAGTTCCAGTCCGTGGAGTTCGCCCTGCCTCCTTGCCATAAAGTCGGAGGCGTCTGACCGCTTTTGCACAGACTTCCGTAAGGTGAATAGGGTCACAAAGCCAGACTCGTATCCACTTCCACGTATGGGTGATTGTGTGGACAGAGTGGGTGTCTTTGTGTCTAAACTTGACCTGTTGAAAGGCTATTGGCAGGTGCCTTTGACTCCACGAGCCAAGGAAATAGGTGCGTTTGTTACGCCTGACTCCTTTCTCCAATATACGGTGATGCCATTTGGTGTCCGGAACGCTCCTGCTACATTTCAGAGGTTAGTCAACCTGGTTTTGCGAGGGGTGCGAGGCCTACCTGGACGATATTGTTTTACATTCAAAAACGTGGGACGAGCACCTCTGTCAGCTTTAGGACGCTTTTATGCGTTTAGACAGAGCTAATCTGACCATTAATCTTGCCAAATGCGAGTTTGCTGAAGCGACTGTAGTTTATTTGGGAAAAATTGTGGGTGGTGGTGCAGTAAAGACAATGGACGCAAAGATCAAATCGGTTTCTTCCTTCCCTGTTCCATCAACGCGGCGCGAGCTTCAGCGTTTTCTTGGGATGGCGGGTTATCACCGTAGTTTTTGTAAAAACTTTTCTACAGTGGCTGCACCACTCACGAGCCTATTAAGCCCTAAATCTGTTTTTAAATGGTCGCCCGAGTGTCAGCACTCCTTTGAGTCAGTGAAGTCGTTGCTTATGAGAGCTCCTGTTTTGGCTGCTCCTGATTATGACCGTCCATTTAAGCTAGCTGTTGACGCCAGTGATGCAGGAGTGGGCGCGGTCTTACTTCAGGATGGTCCTGATGAGGTAGAGCATCCAGTGTGCTACTTTTCAAAGAAGTTCTTAAAGCACCAGTATGCCTATTCTACCATTGAAAAATAGACATTAGCATTAATCATGGCATTAACTCATTTTGAAGTCTATGTAGGATCTTCCAGCTGTCCTGTGGTGGTCTACACGGACCATAATCCTCTAGTCTTCGTACATCAGATGAGGAATTCCAACCAACGCCTGATGCGGTGGTCCCTGTTTCTTCAGGACTTCAACCTGGTCATCAAACACATCGCTGGCAAGGACAACATCCTGGCTGACACGTTGTCACGCGCCGCTCCTAGCTGACCTGCGTGTTGTTCCCCGTCGGTCACCTTTTGGGGGTGGGGGTGTTACTTTCAGCTTGGCCCTGATTGGCTGGCGGTCCACCCAAAAGCAGAGCAGGTGTGCTGATGGCCTCTCTCTCTCCCTCCAGCCCTCGACACACTTGTCCCGACCACGTTCTGGGACATACGTGTCAGGCCATCGCCACTCGGTTTTTCGTATGCTTTGATTTCACACGCACTTGCACCCGACACATAAGGTTATCCTACTGATATTACTTGCATTACACGCAGCCACTCATATTACACTTACACTGACCGCAGTAATATATTTATATTATTATAATTTGTAAAATAAATGCCAACAGGCTTAAAATCTGTTGCCGCCATTGAGCCGGACTGTAACAGTACCATAGGCAGGGGCTTTTGAGGGAGAGCACACCACCCTTCTCTTGTATTTGACGGCCTGGGAAAGGGCAGATATCTAAATGAATAACATTACTATATAGAGTTTCACCTTTCGACTCCACTCCCACTTTTCTTTAGCATCCGATCTAACCAGGAACTTCATTCAACTCATCAAAACTACATCTCTTCTTGACCACCCCATCCTCTACACTCCCTCAACTCTATCCTCCCTCTTTAATCGAGAGGTTAGGGTTAGGGGTACTCTGCTGGGTACCCGACCGAGGTGATACCCACACCCAGCGTCGAATCATTCCCTCAGATTCTACATTCATAATCTACCATTCGTTGTAACATGGTTCTTGCCGGTGAAACTTGCAAAAACATATTAAATGACCTGAATGGACAATATTGATCCTCACCTTTTTGGATTTCTGCACTATTCATATTTTTTAACTTCTTGTTCTCCATTTGGCAAGCCAAAAACTTCTTGGTGATGGCCAGTTCCTCCTTTAGCCTTTGGCATTGTGCACATGGTGCACGAGTGGAAGGGAGGGTGGCAGCTGCGGCTGTGTCACCTGGAAACAAATACAGTACAGTCCCTCTGGCCCTGTGTGTGACTTATCTTTATTTGTTGTCAAACGAAAAGGCCATTACAAATAAAATGTATAATTAGTATCACCTTCCACATGTGACAGACAGGAGGCTACGCTGGCGCCATGTGTTACTTACGGTTTCCAGCAGGGCTAAGGGCTGGCCTCTCCTCCTGGCCTTGACCTGGAAACAAATCATATATCAATTTAGTGATGTCCAGAAACAGGGCCAGACAACAAAAAGGCCGGATTCTCCAGGCCACACATCTGAGGAGGCTACGCTGGCGCCATGTGTTACTTACGGTCTCCAGCAGGGCTTAGGGCTGGCAACTCCTCCTGGCCTTGACCTGGAAACAAATCATATATCAATTTAGTGATGTCCAGAAACAGCGCCAGACAACAAAAAGGCCGGATTCTCCACGCCACACATCTGAGGAGGCTACGCTGGCGCGATGTGTTACTTACGGTCTCCAGCAGGGCTTAGGGCTGGCAACTCCTCCTGGCCTTGACCTGGAAACAAATCTTATATCAATTTAGTGATGTCCAGAAACAGCGCCAGACAACAAAAAGGCCGGATTCTCCACGCCACACATCTTAATAATCAGAAGAATATCAATCCGTAACTTGGTTAGGGTTAGCTTTCCCATGTAGGCCCCTTCTCCAGGCCACACATCTGAGGAGGCTACTGTCACCTGAACTACATATGTCCAAAATCACCCAGGAGTCCATTCTTGGTCACTTCTCCAATCTTGGAATGTGTATTCATAAATATTACAAATCTACTTAGCATTATTGACAGATACTTGAGTAAACATCCATGAACAATTCTTTAAAACATAAAGGAGGGAATAGTATATGACAGTAAAATACAATTTCATGAAGATCAACCGACTTCTCTGAAGCCTTTTGCGACGCATCGCCTCTTCGATCACGCCAGTGGTCACTACGGACAGGTGGGAGACCATGGCTGGTTGGGGGTTGGTGGAGGATGGCCAGTTCCCCCACAATGTAGCTGCGATTTGCTATGCACACATAATTTTTAACCGATGAGATCTACAAATAAATACATTTCTAGTTATGTTTAATCAATCAACCTTTATTTATCGAGTACTTACCTCCAACTCCAACGCATATTAAGTGCTTGTCCAGCCTTTGTATGCCCTTTGACTCACATTCATCTACAGGGCATGTTAATTTCTCCTTGAAACTTAGACATGAGAAAAACACATGTTATCCAGACAATTGAGTTCAAAAAGATTCAGGCACCCAATGATGGCCTATAAAATCTATTCCTAATCTCCAGGTTCTATGTCTAGTGTAGATTTGTTCCATGGTATTTGTAAAAGACATTTCCAAAACACTTACTGTCCATGATATAGCTTCGTTAGAAGCTCCAACTCCTTGTTGTTTCTGACCTGCTCTGTGTGGCGCAGGGGCTGCTTCACATCACTATAATGCACCCTACATACAGTGCATGTGCAAGTATTCGGCCCCCTTGAACCTTTCAACATTTCGCCACATTTCAGGCTTTAAACATAAAGCTATAAAATTAAAAATTTTTGTCATGAATCAACAACAAGTGGGACACAATCGTGAAGTGGAACAACATTTATTGGATGATTTAAACTTTTTTAACAAATAAAAAACTGAAAAGTGGGGCGTGCAATATTATTCGGCCCCTTTACTTTCAGTGCAGCAAACTCAGTCCAGAAGTTCAGTGAGGATCTTTGAATGATCCAATGTTGTCCTAAATGACTGATGATGATAAATAGAATGCACCTGTGTGTAATCAAATCTCCGTATAAATGCACCTACTCTTTGATAGTCTCAGGGTCCTGTTTAAAGCGCGGAGAGAACCATGAAGACAAAGGAACACACCAGGCAGGTCCGAGATACTGTTGTGGAGAAGTTTAAAGCCGGATTTGGATGCAAAAAGATTTCCCAAGCTTTAAACATCTCAAGGACCACTGTGCAAGCAATTATGTTGAAATGGAAGGAGTATCAGACCACTGCAAATCTACCAAGACCCGGCCGTCCCTCCAAACTTTCATCTCAAAAAAGGAGAAGACTGATCAGAGATGCAGCCAAGAGGCCCATGATGACTCTGGATGAACTGCAGATAACTACAGAAGGTGCTCTGGTCAGATGAAACCAAAATCGAACTTTTTGGCCACAATGCAAAACGATATGTTTGGCGTGAAAGCAACACAGCTCATCACCCTGAACACACCATCCCCATTGTCAAACATGGTGGTGGCAGCATCATAGTTTGGGCCTGCTTTTCTTCAGCAGGGACAGGGAAGATGGCTAAAAGTGATGGGAAGATGGATGGAGCCAATACAGGGCCGTTCTGGAAGAAAATCTGTTGGAGTCTGCAAAAGACCTGAGACTGGGACGGAGATTTATCTTCCAACAGGACAATGATCCAAAACATAAAGCCAAATCTACAATGGAATGGTTCACAAATAGACGTATCCAGGTGTTAGAATGGCCAAGTCAAAGTCCAGACCTGAATCCAATCGAGAATCTGTAGAAAGAGCTGAAGACTGCTGTTCACAAACGCTCTCCATCCAACCTCACTGAGCTCGAGCTGTTTTGCAAGGAAGAATGGGCAAGAATTCCAGTCTCTCGATGTGCAAAACTAATAGAGAGATACCCCAAGCGACTTGCAGCTGTAATTGCAGCAAAAGGTGGCGCTACAAAGTATTAGTGCAAAGGGGCCGAATAATATTGCACGCCCCACTTTTCAATTTTTTATTTGTTAAAAAAGTTTAAATTATCCAATCAATTTCGTTCCACTTCACGATTGTGTCCCACTTGTTGTTTTATATCTTTATGTTTGAAGCCTGAAATGTGGCGAAATGTTGAAAGGTTCAAGGGGGCCGAATACTTTCGCAAGGTACTGTATGGGGCATTCGTGCCCTTTGGGCTCGAATCTCGCTTGCATCTGTGAAAAGTGTGAACAAAAAATATAAACTCTAGTTTATATAAAAATGAAAAATAATTGTTAGTACAAAATACAGTTAACATAGAAATACAGCTCAAAAAGTCCCTCCTACAGAAACCTCTATTACAGTATATGAAAGTGTAAGCAGGCACGTTTTATATTTTTAGTGTGGACTTTTATTGTGTGGTTTTATTTGTTGCATGGACTGTTTTATTGCATGGTTTTATTTGGTTTTATGAGTGTTATTTTCTTCACGTTATGCCTTGCTGCCCCGAGCCACATGAGCCCCAGCCAATGCCTGCACTCACAGCTTAATCAGCGCACCTGCAACTGAGTGAGCATGGGCACATGAGGGCGGACTGGGAGCAGAAAGGGAGGACACAGGGATACGGAGAGCAGGACACGGGACAGCACGGCACCGGAACCACGACCCGGATCACAATGATCGCCATCGCCTCACGAGTCCCCAGGGAACACCACGAAGCCGCACTACCGCAGGAGGCAGAGGACGCTCTGCCTTCGCGTGTAAGTACCTCAACACATTGAGTAGTGGTGTTCATGTAGTAGCCTTTGGCGGGGGGATTCTGTGGGGTGTATTGGCGTTCTCTGTGTGGTTGTGCTCTGCCTCCAGGGTCCGTGGCACCGCAAGAGACGCATTGTCCCGGGTTGAGCACCGCGAGGCGTAATCCAGACGGCGGCCGAGTGTAAAACCTCGGCCTCGCTGGTAAGTGTGTGAAAGCAGCGGTGCTCGTGTTTTAGTGGACGAAATGTCGGTGCAGCTTTGCTGTTGGCCTCCACTCCGCTGCCGCTGTGCTTTTGTGCCTGCAGGACCCGAGACGCTGAAGGGACCTGGGCTGAACGAACACGTGTCGGGACTAATTTTAATCCGCTCTTTTTTAAATCGGACATTTTTAACATTTATTGTTTGTAAATAAATTATTTTTTAAACGCATCAGTAGTTTCATTTACTGCAATTACGTGCTCCCCCCGGCTCTCACAAAAGTATGAAGATCCAGCTTTCAGATGTAAGACACTTCCATGGAAAAGTGTATTTGACACACAGACCTATGTTACAGTACATGAAAGTTTGAAGACCCAGGTTTCCCATAGGAACCCATCATGGAAAACTGTATTTGACTACTCTACACACAGACCTATATTACAGTACATGAAAGTATGAAGATCCAGCTTTCCAATGTCGGACCGCATCATAGAAAAGTGTATTTGACTACTCTACACATAGACCTATATAACAGTACAAAAATTACTATATTGACTTTATTGGAAAAAAGGTACATTGATTTTAATTTTCATTTTAAGATTACCTATGTCAAGGTATACCCATAGCTTTCTTTTTTAGAAACAGACTGATTTAAAATTGATTTAAAGTCATACCTGAGTGCCTTCTGAAGTTGCCATTGCTTCTTTTCTCTCCTCCACGTGCAAAGACAAGAGGGTGTGTCCGCGTGTTAAATTGGCCCTCAACAGATCTCGCGAGAATTAATAGTTACCTAATGTAACTTAAGGTCTATGAATAGGTGCGTAGTCCCTTAGGACTTCGCTAGTGGGATATCACTCGTGACCCCCAGGTCACACGCCAGAGAGATCAAAATAATTTGCTCCAATCACCAGCCACCTTCCTCTATAAATGCCCCTGCACAAGGCCGCACCCCCTCTTGAACTCTGCCAAGCCGGGCTGGCCTGATGGGCTCGTAGCTAAGGGACTACGTACCTATTCGTAGAACTTAAGTTAAATTAGGTAACTATTAATTCTACGTCATGGTGCTACGTCCCTTAGGACTTCACTAGTGGGACACAACGCGGAGGCCGTAGGAACATGTACTCCCAGCAGGCCAGCGAAGGGTGATTGGAGCTCCGCCCGAGCAAGACCCTCACACCGTGAGAGGACTCAGGGCAGAAGAAACAATGCGTGTTACAGGGCCACTCCTACCAAGGATACCCCCACGTAACACAGATCGTAGGTCATCCGTAGTCACAGGACGCCTCTCCCAAGAGCTCCTGACGTGGATTACCTGACCGACCAAACACACATATATGTGCCGCACCTGTAGGATGCCTCTCCCAAGAGCTCCTGAACCAGGGCGGAAAGTAAACCGAAGGCTCCCTCAGAGGAGGGACCTAACGGCCTAACTCAGTCCGCTGCACTCAGCACGGAATGGGCCACCGACCGGTCCGACACATCCAAAAGATGAGACCGGACGAAAGAGGAGGACGACGCCCAAGAAGCCGCACGGCAGACGTCCTCGACCGACGCCCCCCTGAGAAGGGCCGTAGAGGCACTGAGCGCCTGGCCAGAAGAGAGCGACCTATCCAGGGCCCCCGTGATGAAGGCCATGTTATTCGCCACAGCGATGACCTGTGCCGCATTGGCGTAACATCTGTCCGCATAGCCAAACGTCTGTCCCGCTGGAGGAGGAGGTCTGGTGCCGGCCACGATGTGGAGGGGCAGGCATGCGACGATCTCGTGTCCGGACCCGCGTCAGGACAGTCTGCAGTGCGTCATGCGTAGCCAAAGCGGGCCTCTTGGCCGCTAGGGGCTTTGGCAGGGGTTAAAGCAAAAAAAAAAGATCTGACTGAAAATGTTCTCATGGAAATTTATCATGATTATCATAATTTATGACCAAGTTATATTCTTAATTATAATATATTATTGTATAATGAATTACAGATCAACGATTTCTTCAAAGATATACATTTAAACTGGTGTATTTTGATGTGAAATTACAACAAGTGGATCAAGGAACTTGTCAACTCTTTGACAGAATATTAGTGAAAGTAGTTGGATCTGCATCATTGGCTTTACTTGAGGCGAGATGAGGCGTTGTCCTTTGGCTCTGTCCTCGTCAAAATATCGCAAAAGGACATTTGTTACGGCCGGCTCAGGGCCACAACAAATAGGGAGACGAGACGGGGGTAAAAAGTGCACAAAGTATATTTAATAATAACAAAAGAGTATAACATGGACAAAAACCAAGGTATGGGATGTGAGCATGTTGTAATCAGTGTGTGGTGCAGGTGTGTGAGTGCAATGAAAGCCTGTGTGTGGTGTGCAGTGAATGTGGTGCATAAACCAAAAGACAAACTCAAATGTGCAACAAAGGAATGGACATGGTGGCTCAAGAAGGGCCCACCAAGACAGGACCCATCTGAGCGGCAGCACCGGAGAACAGGAGGACAGGAGGCGAGGAGGAGAGTGAGCAGCTCTCAGCTCCCAGGTGAAAAAACCCATTGATGATGGGCGTGGCATGTTGCAGGTGTGGACCTGCACAGAGGAGGAGACAGCAGAGAAGGCAGGCAAACCCCAGACAGCTCCCTCTCCTGGACAGTAAGGGCCTGGCCCGTAACACATTCAAAATTCTGTCCACATTTGTTTGTGGACTCTCAATGTTTAAGAAAAAGGTTTCCCTATCAACTTGGTGCTAGTGCACAGCGCAGTTTGATCAACTGCAAATGATTAATGATAATTAAATCTACCAGCGGTAGTGATGGTTCTGAACGACAGGTTATTTTCTGCGATAAAGCCACAGATATTTTTAGGTCACAGACACAGTCCACCAGAGCAAGCCTAGTCTCAGTTGTCGCTGAATCTGATGCACCAGGTAAAGAAGTGTGGGAAAGTGCACGGACAGCTGCCAAGTGCGCAGTTTTGAGCTGGTGGTGAATCCAAAGCTGTTTTCTCATTACTCCCATATACAAAAAATATGGCGAAGTACGAACAAGCACCGGACACCTTTATCTTTTTGCACCACGAAGCAACAGAATCCCATCGTCTCCACCTCATCCAGCCATGCCCACCTCCATTTATTTTTCACTCCGTTATCAACAGCAACTTATACAGCTCCTTCTTCCATAAACAACGATCCATGATTGTGATTGTGCTTGAATGCTAGGCTAGCTTTGATGAATGAATGTAAGACCCGCTAACACACTACACCTTTCTTCAGCGAGTTTCTTCCGTTCGCTCTCGTTGATTGGCTCTTTTTATCACGCAGTTTTGCATGCGGATCGCCACCAAGATATTATCAAAAGCTCACCAAGACATGTTTGTCTCCATTCACAGTCACAGCAAAGTACGTATTGTACATTCCGTTAAATAAAAAAGCATTGCGTTTGGTAAACGTTAATTATGTCCTACCTTTCCTCTGATAACGCGCCCAGCTCACCGGTCCGCGGGGCTGCTGGCTGTTATTGCTCCGTTCGGAATTAAATTTTCCTTCTCCTCTTCTCCTTTTCAAAAGCTCCGTGCACTTTCCAGAAACTTTCACCTCTGTGTTACCATCGCTAACTTGGCCGCGTCTTCATTTGCGCATGAGGTCAGCTACGTCCCACTGCCTTGATTCGTTTACGGAGCGCTCATGTAGCTAGCAACGGCACGTTCAAGGCCCACTCGTGAATATATTACTTTTTATTTCTATATACATATAAATACAATTACATTCGAATTATTATTATATATCTATAGATATATACAACAGATTCACACGTATATGTATTACTATATATTTTTTATAATTAACCATTTCATTGTGTGTATTATTATTATATATAGATATATATTTTTTTTTCAGACCAATTTCATTTGACGGAAATCCGTCACTTAGAAGGAACTCTTTAATCCCTGGGCTTTGGCCACTCACGTGTCGCGTAATGGACGATCGGGTCCATCCGCGGGCACAACGTGGGCTGTGTCCTCCTCCTCCCTCGAGTGGTGGCGTAACCCGAGGTGAAGTCCTCCACCCTCTGGGTCGGCTGCGGTGGCAGGGGGGCATCCATGATGGCCGCCGCAGAGGAGTAGAGCCCAGGCATGTGGTCCAGTGGGAAGCGGTCCGGCTCCGGGTTCGACACCACCTCGTCCAGCGTGAGGAGCGACCTCCGAAACCTCTCCGTCCTCACAGTCACCCCACTCCGCGGGCACGGGTGGAAGGTCGAGTGGGGCCCAGTCAGTCTCAGACTCCTCGTCCTGAGAGGAGTCCGGACGGGGCGCTGCAGCGGCGAGGTACGCACGCCTGCGTTCGCTCTCCTCCCTGGGGAGAGCGAGACACGAGGTGCAGGTGGCGCTCAACGCCGCATGGCCCGGGCCCAGGCACATGAAGCAGCTGGAGTGCTGGTCCGTGCGCTGGAGCCTGACTCGACACGTCGAGCAACGACAACGTCCGACGCCGGAGGGCGAAGGGGAACTCGGACGAGCATCAGAAGACATCTTTTCTCTGGAATAAAGTGAGTACTGTGGTAGATCTCAATCGGCGCCAGAGTGAAAGAGGGGGTGCGGCCTTGTGCAGGGGCATTTATAGAGGAAGGTGGCTGGTGATTGGAGCAAATTATTTTGATCTCTCTGGCGTGTGACCTGGGGGTCACGAGTGATATCCCACTAGCGAAGTCCTAAGGGACGTAGCACCATGACGTAGAACTGCAATTACGCGAGATTTTGCAACTGGAATCATGTGGGATGAGACATATACAGTCTAAGGATGAGACAGATCTGCAATCAATGGCACAGGTATGACATTTATTAACGCTTTCATTGTTGAATCAAATTGTTTCACTGTTTCAAAGGATAAAGTGAAAGTAATTAAGAACTCGTTAAAATCAAAAGATTTTCCAAGAGATGTTGGACATTCAATAAATATAAACCATTTCATTTTTCCTTGTATTAACCGTTAGCTTTACGACATTATATTGGGTTTAGTTTTCACTACCCTGGTGAAGCGAGTAAAATTATGGACTGACGAGGAGCAAGAGAGACGCCGCGGGTCGGGGTGCCAGGGATGCGCATGGAGAAGCAGCTCCGCACGGACCGGAGATGTGCGGCCAGAACATGATGATGATCCTCTGCGCCTCCATAGAATCTACAGCTTCGACCGCGGCTGTCCCCGTCACCCTGACCCGCAAGACCGCCGGTTGCCAATGTGCGCAAAGAACATGTTTTCACTGGGGTTTGGTGTAGCAAAGTCAATTTTAGTGACCTCTCTCAAAACTTTACAGTGCATTTTTTTTATTTGTTTATTTAAGTGTTATGTGAATTACACAGTTATTACTGTATTTTTATTACAAGTTTTATTATTTTTATAATTGTTTTTTGTCCTGGTCTTTGATTCGTTGTGCAGCTTTGGTCCTCCAGCCACTCCCGTGTTTATATTTCTTCTTCGTGTGTCCCCCATTCCCCCACTATAAATTCGGGGTTTTCCCGCTGCCTCTTCCCTTTGAAAACCCGTGTCAGGGAAGAGGTCAGTCACTTTATGTTTTTATGTCTCAAAATGTCCATTTTAATTGTAATTTTGTTGTCATTTACGTTTGGTATGTCTTTTTAGTTTGGGCTGTGAGTGATGCAGAGGCACATGTTCATTGTTTTTGTTTTTTATTGACCAGATAAAAGAACGCCTCGTAAGCTCGTCTCCCGTGTGTTCCCCCGCACCACACAATCAAGTAAACACAACGCAGAGCGGAGAAAATCAGACCCGTTACATTGGCACAATCAAAAACATAAGCCTGTCACAGGCAACAGTGAAAAGTGAAACCTTGAAAGAAATAAAAATGCTGCTTATATGTCCACACATCCGTCATGACAGCGTCTGTAGAAATATCCTTATTGACAGAGCCGTCCAACTGGGTAAGCAATAGCCTAAGGCCTCTAAGTGGCAGGGCCCTCTGATGACTGGTCATTTCCTAACGTCCTCTTTTATTTCATCCTGGAGAGACCCACAACGGGGAATGCAATTAGAAGTTTATTTGATTAAGCATGTTTGGCGCCCTAGGCCCCGGAGCGATGATGTTGAGCGCGGCGCTTGCTCGCGCTCATAATCCCCCCCCAGGGCCTAGGCACTGGTGGCGGCAGAGGCAGCAGGCAAGCACGCTCGAAATGGTAGAAGGAGGAGGTGGGGCGCGGAGGATGCAAAGCTTGAGAAGGCCGGGAATTGGGCGTCTCCGGCTTTTAACTTGCTGGCCTGGCGGTTATTGGTTGACTGGAAGTGGGTGTTGCTGTGCGATGAGCCGAGGATGAGAGCAGGCCTGGAGGAGCTGGGCAGCAGGCCAGGTCTACCAGGTTGAACTTACGCAGGCTTCATATGTATTTATATATAATGTATAGACGAGTATGAGGTATATTCTCTGAATCTCCGTGACGTCTCGCTGTGATGCTCAGCTGATTCCCTGAGACCGCGGAGGCCTCGGCCTTCGCCACAAAGGCCTAAACCGCTGGTCGTAACTCTGCAGAAGAGTATTTTATACCAATGACCCTAGTTTATATTCAAATAAAAAAATAGTGGTTAGTACAAAATAAAGTTAAAATAAGACAAAAAAGACATTTTCACAGACCGAAAGGGTTTAGGCTGAAGTTCTACACTTATTACACCTATCCCTATTCACAAAAGCAAAATCAAGTACATGATGTAGCAAGACCACACTGAGCTCGAGCTTCAGAGATGAAAGAAAATACATTATAAAACAAAACAAAAAACATTTCATTAGGACCGGAGAACCGGAGGAAACTTACACAGACACAAAGAGAACATGCAAACTCCACTCAGAAAGGCCCTGTTCCGATCGGGATCCGAACCCAGAACCTTCTTGCTGAGAAGCGAGAGTGCTATCCACTCAGCCACCGTGCCACCGTAATACAGCTCAATCAGTTCCTTTCTCCAGAAACCTCTATTACAGTTTATGAAAGTATGAAGACCCAGATCTGCCATGTAGGACCCTTTCATGGTAAAACTATATAGTTCTTGAAAAATTAAGTACTGGTACAATCTACGCTGTAATGTTGTGTATTTTATTTAGTTTAAAAGCCCAGGTATTTCCTGTGAGAAGAAAACGTGTGCAGTCTAACATTAATTTTACATATTCATTTTTTATTAAATATTACCTTTTATTATACTTGTGATTGATAAAGTTCTAGTTAGCAGGGCCCAACATGAGCATGTTGGACTTTAATGGGAGAATGGATCTGAAAAGGTGGACCTTGGGCCTTAATGGTGGTAGTGGGTCTTCAGTATCTTTCATCTCGCACCACAGCTCATCACACTTTCATCTCAGTTTGAATGTGACAGGTGTTGGGTCTCGTACGGAGAAGTTGGGCCTCGTACGGAGAAGTTGGGTCTCCTACGGAGAAGTTGGGTCTCGTACGGAGAAGTTGGGTAGGGTCTCGTACGGAGAAGTTGGGTCTCGTACTGAGAAGTAGGGTCTCGTACGGAGAAGTAGGGTCTCGCACTGAGAAGTTGGGTCTTATACTGAGAGTAGGGTCTCGTACGGAGAAGTTGGGTCTCTTACTTAGAAGTTGGGTCTCTTACTGAGAAGTTGGGTCTCGTACTGAGAAGTTGGGTCTCGTACGGAGAAGTTGGGTCTCGTACGGAGAAGTTGGGTTAAGGTTAGAAGGGTTACACTAAGAAGTTTATCAAGTTTCTGAACTTGGTCAACCTTCACTCCTAGACTCAGACATTGGGTTTAACAAAAGGAGCCATGGATCATTAGTCCACTGAAGCCTTTATTCCCTAACAACTATTCCCTGGTGACTGGTTAAGTTTTAGGTGAGTAAGATGGTTAAGGTTAGGATTAAGGGTGGGTTGGATATCAGTCTGTTGAGTAGAGTGGTTAGGTTAGGGGAGTTGGATGGAAATAAGTCCTTAAGTGGTGACTGGTTAAAGTTTTAGGTAGTTGGTTTTAATGGATTGTTACTTCCGCTTCCCTCCCAATTCCGTATATGATCTAGTGCTGACCGGGATATTAGGTAGGTCCATAGTTAGAGACTGAGAGATATTAGGGAGCTCCATAGAAGGACCTTGTGTGGAGATATTGGGTCCTGAAAGTGGAACATACTGTGATATTGGATCATTTAAATTGTTTCCTTTATTATCACTGGCCAATATTAGTTATTTTGTGCACTAACCTTTAAACATTGATGCAAAACAAGTCCACACATTTTGTTTGATTGTATACTTTATTTGAAAAAAGGATCGGATTTTGTAAATTGTTTTGCTTGAACACAAGGTGAGGTTGACCTCTTTTCTTTTTTCAACTTTTCATTTTACAGGATGAAATCGTTTGTGCAAGACAAGGAACATCGTTGAAAGATTCCGTGGTGCATTTCCAGCCCAGAGCAATGAGAGTGTCCTTTGCAGATCCTGTGTGATTATTATTCACCAATAAAAAGCCTGAATTGAATGATAAAACCAGCCTGTTGTGTCGTCCCCATTTCTTATTGTTACAGTCAATGAGCCATTTGGGCCTTAATGGTGATAGTGGGTCTTCAGTAACTTAGTTCTAGGTAGCAGCAGGGCCCAACATGGCCATGTTGGACTTCAATGGGAGAATGGGTCTGACCTTGGGCCTTAATGTTCATAGTGGGTCTTCAGTAACTTAGTTCGAGGTAGCAGCAGGGCCCAACATGGCCATGTTGGGCTTTCTCCTTCTATCGTTGGTCCCAAAGTCAAGTGCCCCCTATATTTTTTTGGGTACTGCATGAGTTTTATCTTTTTTATCAAACACTGTAAAGAGCTGTTTTTTTTGGCATATACAAACAAAATATAGGACATTTCAAAAAAGTGGTCGTTGGATTTTTAAAAATTCAGGAAAGATGTTTTAAAAATGTTTTTGTAAGTTGGGTTTTTCGACCCACTTTTTCCGTATTGTTCCCTGGTTGACCCTAATTTATTATAGAGCTCCTCACAGCAGCAGTAGAACACTCCATTGACTTGAGTGTAATTCTACCGATCATTTTTTTCTTGATAACAGAACTCTCAAACCAATAACCACCGCTGCCCTTTGACAATGCAATCTCTGTTTGTAATTCAGGTGTGTAAAATACTGCCATTACTCCGCAAGTACAACGAGAGAAGCTAGCGGAGCTAGCCACGCTCAATAAACAAATACATATCAATCAACACCATTAAATGTTAATCAGACAATACAGTATACATATACATCATTAACATACATGCACGGACATCTTCAGAATTTGTTATCGTTTTCATGACAAAATTACTATTTTAATGTGACCAAAAGCGATCGCAAAAAACCCGGAGGTAGCCATTCATATGTAGTTCCAGGGAGCTAGCTAGCTTAGCTGTTACCTGCCTAGCACGTCGGTCGGCACTAGATCATATACGGAATCGGGACGAAACCGGAAGTAACACTCGTACTTTCGAATTAGTTTTAGACTAATAAGTCCTTAAGTGGTGACTGGTTAAGTTTTAGGCGTCTGAGTAAGATGGTTAAGGTTAGGGTTAAGGCTGGGTTGGGGTTATGTTATGGGAATAGCTGGTTAAATTTAGGCATTAATAGGTAATTTGTAATATTTACTTCCGCTTCCGTCCCGATTCCGTATATGATCTAGTGCTGACCCTAGCACGTCCCGTTGAAACCTTTGGGAGCTAACTATTTTATTTGCAGTCATTGAATACATTTCAAATGACTTCAGTAATTTTTTCTGTTGATATTTAAACTGTTCAGCATTCTGTGGAATGTGTCTTTTATTCAGGGAATTTCCTAAATTGTAAATGTTAATCCTCAGAACTTAGTTTCTAAAATTGACTCGACTTAAAATAGTAAAGCAACCAGTTGCGAAGCTTATTTGAGTTAACTCAACTTAAGTTAGCAAGTTAAGATTGTACTTGATTCAACTCTCTATAATCAGTTTGAGATTTTCCCAACTTCCTCCTTTAATTTTGCTCAATACATATCTTGAAAGTTGAGTGAACTCAAAAAAGCTTCGCAGCTGGTTGCTTTACTTTTTTTTTCACAGTGTTCCAAGGAGCAGCAGAGGTGATCCCAATGAAGCAGCAGCCAACCCTGGGGCCAGCATTCCCATTCTTCAGACTAGAATCATTGCCTCCCTGCCCCAGGTCGTCTTGGTTCAGGTGGTTGACTACTGATCTGCAGAGGATCGAGTGCTAATGGAGGGCAACGATGATGCGCCTGTCCTGGATAAGGAAGTTGCCGAAGTCTCCTGGATGCTGTAGATCAGGGGTGTCAAACTCATTTTGGTCCGGGGGCCACATACAACCTAATCTGATCTCAAGTGGGCCGGACCAGGAGATGCTCTACAAAAATATCCAAAAACGGTACAAAGTCCAACTTTTTGTGCACATAAACACATTTATTTAAAACTTCCTTTAAAACACTATTCTTTAATACTCAGTTTTCTGTTACAAACTTAAATGTAACAGTGATTTTCCATAGTGCAAATAATGTAATGTATTTACAATATTACATTGAAAATGGTATTTCACAATATGTATATTAATATTTGTGTGTTAGCTTTGTTTTAAGGCTCATTACAGAGAAAACCTGCTCACAAAGGTAAAGTAGGTAGATAGAAAAAAGCACTTAAACACAGCACCTCAGCTTAACCATCTTCAGTGTGGTACGGTCCATGGTTATGTTATTATCACATTAACCATCTTCAGTGTGGTAAGGTCCATGGTTATGTTATTATCACATTAACCATCTTCAGTGTGGTAAGGTCCATGGTTATGTTATTATCACATTAACCATCTTCAGTGTGGTCAGGTCCATGGTTATGTTATTATCACATTAACCTTCTTCAGTGTGGTAAGGTCCATGGTTATGTTATTATCACATTAACCATCTTCAGTGTGGTAAGGTCCATGGTTATGTTATTATCACATTAACCATCTTCAGTGTGGTAAGGTCCATGGTTATGTCATTATCACATTAACCATCTTCAGTGTGGTCAGGTCCATGGTTATGTTATTATCACATTAACCATCTTCAGTGTGGTAAGGTCCATGGTTATGTTATTATCACATTAACCATCTTCAGTGTGGTCAGGTCCATGGTTATGTTATTATCACATTAACCATCTTCAGTGTGGTAAGGTACATGGTTATGTTATTATCACATTAACCATCTTCAGTGTGGTAAGGTACATGGTTATGTTATTATCACATTAACCATCTTCAGTGTGGTCAGGTCCATGGTTATGTTATTATCACATTAACCATCTTCAGTGTGGTAAGATCCATGGTTATGTCATTATCACATTAACCATCTTCAGTGTGGTCAGGTCCATGGTTATGTTATTATCACATTAACCATCTTCAGTGTGGTCAGGTCCATGGTTATGTTATTATCACATTAACCATCTTCAGTGTGGTCAGGTCCATGGTTATGTTATTATCACATTAACCATCTTCAGTGTGGTCAGGTCCATGGTTATGTTATTATCACATTAACCTTCTTCAGTGTGGTAAGGTCCATGGTTATGTTATTATCACATTAACCATCTTCAGTGTGGTACAGTCCATGGTTATGTTATTATCACAGAGAAAGCATCAAACTGACCATGATTCATTTGAAATGAATAAAACAACTTCCATAACGTGATTCATTCTTAACGACTGCAGCAGTGTCTCTGTGTAAAATACAGTCAAATGTCCAAAAATCATCACCTCCATTTGCAGCTTTGTCACTACACCTGTTTTTACCATCGGTACCGGTCCACACTGTCCAACACACCAGCAACAACAGCAGAACCAGCAGCAGCACCAGCAGCAGCGCTCAAAACTCCTCTGATAGTTTCAGTAACACCACAAATGAATATGTGACATCAGTAACATCAGTCTCTTATCAATGGCAACATGTTGGTAAAAGCGAGTGGTTTCTCAGACCATGTCTGCAGCCTGTGAGAGATTTAACAAACTCTCTCTCACTGTGCGGCTGCGATGCTAATGTTGTTAGCACAGGTAGCTTCCCTTTACAGCAGCAGCACTAACCTCGCTCTGGGCACAAACAGACTGCTGTGTCTTCAGGGCCAGACATGTTTATCTTCTGTTTTCTCTATTCTTCGCTCAAAGTGCCGTATTTTTCGCCGAGTCTTGTAGTTTAAGATGTTATTCCTTCAGCACCGCTCTGGTGGAGCCACTACAGACGCACTGGACTCACCCCTGAGCGCGGCGCTGCGGCGTCGCGGCGCCTCGCGGCGCGGAGCCTTGCGTCGCGGAGCGGCTTTTTAAAATGTAACTTTATTATATTTTTACATAAATGAGCCACGGGCCGTGTCAAATCTCTTGGCGGGCCGGTTCCGGCCCGCGGGCCGTATGAATGACACCCCTGCTGTAGATGGTTGCGGTTGTGAGGGTAGTAGTGGCCCCTAGGGGAGCCAAAGCCAGAGCTCAGGTCTCCAAACTGATGAATATGCACTGCTTTGGTCTCAGTTGAGTT